TGCAGATGTATATTTTAGCATTTTCTTCTCTTTCTGCAATTATATGAGATGCTTCTATTAATTTTCATTGAAATCATTCAAGCAGTATGCATGGTGCTATTATTTTTAATAACAAATACATAAAAAGAGACATATTTTATTTTTTTCTTAATAATTTTATATTGTTTTATTTTTTTCCTTTAAATGATAAATATAAATATAGTATATTTTATTCTCCCTCGTTTAATGATAAAAATTAAAATTATTTAATTATTAAATTATTTAATTTAATTTAATTCATTCACAAATTGCCCTGGATCTTATTTTATTTTGTTTTATTTTACTTAATTTCTTTCATATAATTTAATTTTTTATTTAATTTATTTTATTTTTTTGATACCGTATTTCTTATCGTTTTATTTATTTTTTTTTTTTATATTTGTATTTTTTATTTTAGCTAATTTATTTTGCTTTTTTTTGTTTTATATTATTTTACTATATTGTATATTTTACTATCATTTAATTTTTTTAATTAATTTAATTGAATTTTTTTTTTTGATACCTTACTTTGTATATTATTTATTTATTTTAAGTTTTGTATTTTTTTATTTTAGCTATTTTTTTTTGTTTTAGATTGTTTTACTTTATTGTATTTTTTTCTATTACTTTATTTTTTTTATTTAATTTAATTTTGTTTTATTTGATGTTATTGAATTATATTTTATTTAATTTTAATTAAATAAATTTAATTTTGTTTTGTTCCTCTTATTTTATTTTATTTATTTTCATATCGTTTTATTATATCTTACCATATTGAATTTAATTCTATTATCTTTTTTCCACTCTTAACTTTTTATGTGATTTGATTTTATTTTCATTTGTCTTATTTCTTTTTATTTTATTTTATTATAATACTTAGTTTCTTGTTAGCTCATTTTATTATCATTTTTAGTTTCATATCATTTTATTTGGTTTTATAATTTGTTGTTTTATTTATTTTTGTTTTTAATTTTTAGACAATCTTTTTCATGTATTATTTTATATTGTTTTATTTTTTTGTTTAATTTTATGTTTATTTTTAATATAATTTTTATTAAGGTATCGATTTAATTTCTTTTTATATTATTTCTTTTATTTTATTTATTTCAATCAATGTTTATTTTGGTTTAATTTAGTTTTAATTTTTTTTTTTGATTTTATTTTATTGAATTTTATTTTGTTTTTTTCCTTTTATTTATTTTAATTTTCTTTTGTTTTAATTTAATTATTATTTTGCATTTTTATATTATTTTACTTTATTGTATTTTTTCTATTATTTTAATTTTTATTAAAGTTAATTTAATTTTATGTTATTTGATTATATTTGATTTAATTTTAGTTAATTAAATTAAATTTTATTTTTGTTCCTCTTATTTTATTTTATTTATTTTCATATCATTCTATTATATTTTCCAATATTGAATTAATTTCTATTTTAATTTTTTTCTTAATTTTTTATTTCATTTGTTTTTATTTTATTTTATTATAATATTCATTTCATTTTAGTTCATTTTTACATTCATATCATTTTATTTGGGTTTATGTTATTTTGTAGTATTTATTTAATTTTTGTATTTTTTATTTTAAATAATCTTTTTTTATATAGATATATATATATATGTTTATTTTTTTTTTAATTTTTTCATTATTTAGCTTAATGTTGATTTTTATTATAATTTCTATTTAATATAATTTAATTTTAATTATACTAATTTATTTTAATCCTATTTTGACTTAGTTTTAATATATTTTTAATTTTAATTAATTTAATTAAATTATGTTTTTTCCTTTTCTAATTTCATTTTATCTTAGTTGATTTCATATCGTTTTATTTATTTTTACTTTTGGAATTTATTTTTTTATTATTGTTGGTTTTTCTATTATTTCATTTTATTTCCCTTTAATTTATATTATTTTAGTTCATCTCTTTATTACTTGTTTCATTTATTTCTGTGAATTTTTTTTATTTATTTTAACTTACTTTGTTTTATTTCATTGTGTATTATTTATTTCTTGTTTTATTTTATTTTTATATTTGATTTAATTCTTTTTTCATTAATTAAGTCTATTTTTTCAATTTTTTTCCACTAACTATTTTAGGGAATAAATTGAAGTACAAGCGCACCTTCACTCATATTTAGTCATTTCTTAATAAATCTATTCATCATATTGCATCACTTAGTAACGTAGTGTAAAATATAGTAATTTACCTTTGGAACACAATAGGTTTAGGTAATTAAGAAATTTGTTAACAGTTAGCCATGGCTGCAGGCGCTGACAGTTTGTAAGCAATTAATAGACGTGACTTCGTCGGATCTCAGAGTTTCCTATCGTTTATAAAATGAGTAAATATTTTTTACTTACTGTACAAATACAGATATGTATGTATGTACATATAAAACATGTGCATATACATATATATATAATATAGTGATGTGAACATCTGTATGGCCTATATCAAGGTTTAAAATAGTTTGGACTTTGTTACTAACTGATAAGTAATGTAACTTTAATTGTAATGTAACAAATATTGCTTGCACATACAGGGTGCAACAAACACCTGAAGATGAACATATTACTTACTTTTCAGTTTGAATGATGTAAATATAAATATAAATATAAATATAAATATAAATATAAATATAAATATAAATATAAATATAAATATAAATATAAATATAAATCTAAATATAAATATAAATATAAATATAAATATAAATATAAATATAAATATAAATATAAATATAAATATAAATATAAATANAAATCCAGCTAACTCCCTGCTACTTCTCTTCTACTGCTCTGCTATTCAGAAGTGTCAAAAGTCTTCTTTAGCGCATCTCAGCGAATAAACAATGAAGATAAACAGAAAACAGCGTAGATAGAATTTCATAATACTTGAGTAGAATTAATAAAAGTGGCAAGCGAGAAATCTACAAAGAAGCGGCCCAAGTATCGTTGCTGAGCTTAACACAAATTAGCATTTTTTGTTTTATTGTTAATTTTTTCATGCAAGTCTTATTTGAAGTTTTGTTTGTGTTGTTGCTTTCGCCTCTGTGCATAAATATTTCTTCTTATTCTTCTTTTTCTTTTTTTCAATTTCGCTAGGTCTAATCAGTGTGGGAATTTTCGTAGCATCGCTACCGTGGCCGAGGTCATTCCATTGTTGTATTAGAAGCATTTTGTGTCTAGCTGTTTGCATATACATACATACGTACGAGTATGTTGCTGGGTTCACGCTGTATTATCAGTGTCATTGCGCTACTTGAATTGTTTGTTGTTTGATGATGTTTGCTAGCTTCAGTTATTATTATTTTTAATTTTTTTGAATGTTTGTCACCAGCTGTCAGAGCTTCAAGTTCCGCTCTGCCGCAACGCTGTCGCGGCTTTTATAACAATGAGTAAATGTGCTCAGCGCATTACCAATTAGTGGTGAGTGACGTGCAGCGGGAAAAAAATAGTTTTAATGCTTCTGATTTTTGATAAAAAATAAATAAATAAATAAAAAATAAATTAACAAAAAATAAAATTAAATAAATAAAGTTGAATAAAATAAAAATAAAGTAGAATAAAATATATAAAAAAAGAGATATATTGATATTAATTAAAATGAAATATAAGAAAAATAAAATCTTGTAAAGTAAAATAAAAAAAAAATACTTTTGAAAAATAAAACTTTTTTCTCTGCCATAATTATATTTTATTTGCCATAATTCTGGCTTACAGATACATTAATGCTTATAAAAATTGTCACGTCTCAGCCATTACTTGAACGCGGTATTCATATGCAGTCTTTTACCATTCAATGATGTGTGTATTCAGATGGCAAAAGCGAATATTGAAATATTCATTGAGAAATTAGCAGAAACGTGATTGGCATACAAAATGATCAAGCTAAAATGCTTAATGAGACATTTCTGTCTAAAAGATAATATCTGGATAGAGACCTGACTGTTTTTAGACAATATAATTACGGTCTGCTGCTAACAAGTGGGATAAGTTCATTTGACGCCGGCCGAGCTCTCCGTCCGCCATAAGTGGTGATCGGACCCCATTCACAGTAGGAGAGTTTATGAAAGTTTTTAGTCATATTCTGCTGATTTTTTATAGGCGCGTATCTGTTTTGAATCAGTATCTGTGATCACCATAATAGAACCCCGCAAAGTAGATGTGTAAAGACAAAATCAGGTGGGTTTTCGGTCCTTAAGGCTGTGTTTTGATAGGATTTTAACTTCTTCTTATGGTTCTCTCTATTGCCGGGAAGGTCGGAGAGGAAATGCTTAATACAAATATAAAAACAAATACGTATGTAAATTTCACAGCAAATACGTATCTGAATACGAATACAAACACGAATATGAATACGAGTACGAACTTAAATACTATTATGAATATGAATACGAATAGGAAGGCGAATACGAATACCTATACGAATACCCGTACGAAAACGGATACGAACGCGATTACGAATAAAAATTCGAAAGCGAGTGCAAATTTGTATACGATTACAAGGATGAATATGTTAACGAATAAAATAAATTATATAAAAAAGTTCTTCTTCATTAAACTGCTTATTGAACTGCACTCTTCAAGTGCGGAACGATCGAAGTAAATTCAGCTAGAGCTTAAAAAATGAACGCAAGAGCATGGAGAGTGGTGAGCTGAACCGACTTGTTCACGAGTGTATGTATGCACACATATACATACGTACATATTTGCAAATTCGTATTTCATGATCACTGATCTTGCTTATAACCCTCGGCAAACCTTCATTCTTTGGGTTTTACTAATAACAATAATTGATTTTCTTCAGACTGTATTGCCGTGCAAAACATTTTTTTATTACGGAGGGATTTACGATTGAGTCCTAGCGTTTTAAAAAGTTCAGATTTTGGCTTAGAAATTAATTTGGAGCGATATTAACATTCTCCTTAACCTTACTAATTAAATCTAATGTGTTTTTCCCTCTCTCTATTTTTCAGACAAAGCAACAACAGTGAAAAGAAGACTGTGATTTGAACATTAGAACAATTTTGAAAAATTATTCGAGTTAAAAAATCTACGGTGTCATAAAAAAAAATTCTGAAAACACGTATTGGCTATAGCTGAGCGCTCCAAATCGACATTCTCCGAGCACGTTCTATAAATTAGATAAAAACTCGTAAATAAATTAACCGACAATTTAATTTTTTACTACACATCAAAGTCAAAAAAAAAAACGACGCAAACTCTTTAGTTGACTATTTAACTGTTTACTTTTTTTTGTATTTTTTTTACTTGACAATTTGACGCAGCAGCAAACGCCGCGCTTTGAATCATCACGTTGTTGCATTTACAAATGAATAGCAAAATCAAAAACAAAACCATTACGCCTAAAGCACTACAACAATACCAACAACAACTGCAACAATTACAACAACGCATTGAAGAGTTAAGCTTCATCAATATACGACGAGAAATCTTCACCTTCAAGCGCCTCAATCACAACCCAGATATTAGTAGTAACAGTAGTACTGGTATAAGGCTGAAAAACTTAACAGAAACCCAAACAACAGTAGCGACAATCATAGCAGAATTAGCAGAAATAGGAACATTGTATGATAGTAAACGGTGCCAACAACACTAACAACTAAACGAGAAACGTCAGCAGAACAGCTGAGAGTTGATTGAAAGAGTGAATAAATCGTACACATTGCAGTGTAGTGCAGCGCAGCGAGTAGTTCAAAGCAGCGAACGAGCAGCACAAGGCAACAGAGCGCCATAGAGTAATAGCAGCTCAGCCGAGCAGCAGTTAAATTAGCAGGCTAGCAGAGCAATTGACAGCTACAGCTGCAGTCGCATCAGCACCAACAGAGTAAAACGAAGAGAAATCGGTGCAACGGCGTGGCGATTGAAAACAAACCAGTTTGACGATTCGCAAAGAAGCAACTTGTAGTTGTTTGCCGAATTTTCAACTGTTAACGAGGAGCAGAAAAAGAGGGAGCAGCGAAAAAGCGCTGTGGAAAAGCGTGCACACAGGAAAACACACAGGTGAACAGTGTTGAAAGAAAACAAAGAAAAATTAAAGAAAACAAAAATAATTTATAATTTGTGCAAAAAAGGGCACATAGCGTAGCAACCAGCGACCGGACGATTTGTGCACCAAAAAAAGTCAGTCAGGCACCAGTTGGCAGTAGCTAGTGCACGCGTGAGCAGTTAACTACATAGTATAAGCTGTTGTAACGATTTAGTGTAGCCGAAGATTAAGAAAAATTGCAGCACGTGGAGCTGTGACAGTAGACGAAGGTGCAGTACATAGATCTTGTGGCAAAAGCGACGATTTTGTTGTTGGGTGTCTAATGTATGCAAATAAGTAAAGATTGAAAATTTCAAAGAAAATACAAAAAGGCACAAATTTTCAGAGAACAACAAAATAAAAAATAATAAAATTGACTTAAAAAACTCCGAAACACTAACAAAACGTTGAAAAGCGCACCCTAATTGACACTAACAGCAAAAACAAGCGCCCACATTACAACAGCATTGCTTATGACAGCAGCAGCAACAACAACTGCAGCAAACAACAAAGTGTCATAAAAGAAGTAAAATAAAAGCAATCAAACAAGTGGAGAAATCTGATTGCGCGTGAAACGCAAATAAAAGCAAAAAAGCTAAACTAAAATAAGACGCATACATATAAAAAAAACTACAAAAAAATACAAAAAAATAAAAACCCCATAAAATCTAAAAGGCAAAGACCTAAAAATATCACACACACTCCAACAAAGCGAACAACACACATTAAAAAAGTCATAATAATAATAATAATAACAAAAAACCACACACAACACAGTTCACCACACATCGCACTCAACGTGTGTTTGTTTCTTGGTTTTTCGTTTGCGTTGTTTTGTATGCAACTGTGTGCAACGGTGCATGCGCTGTGCTGCTAACAGCGAGTAGGCTCGCCTGACTTGTTGGCCCGTTTACTTCTTTTTTGCTTTTTGCTTTGTGCTTGGCGTACAGCTGTTCAGCTCTGTTTTTGGCTTTTGCTCCGCCTGAACCTGATTTGCCGTCAGCTATAAGTAGCAAGTTTCTATTTGTCAGTGGTTCGGTGTGTGCCCTTGTGTGTGTGTGTGTGTGCGCGCACCGCGTTAAAGTTGCATTTGTAAAGGTTAACTGCTGATTGCTGCAATATCCGAAACGTAACGCACGTGTCCATCAGTTGTTGTTGGTAGCGCTGAGGAAATATACATTTTTTTTTCGGTTTACGCGTTATTCTTTGTTTTGTTTTTAACATTTATATATTTTTGGCTGTATTTTCGTTAATTTGACCAATACGTACTGCGTACGGTGAATTAATTTTTATGTTCTCAATGGTTGATTACTGTGCGGATATGGGACAATTGGGACAAGATGTGAGTATATCAAATGTTTTCAAATTCTTAAATACTTGGGATATTAAGTGAAAATTAATTAAGAATTACTATTTAATACATTCATTCTCGAAATATATTTTATATATAAATATTTTCTTAATTGTATGCGTATAAAAAAATCAAATAGACTGATGATGATGCCTCAGATGAAGCCATTGGTAATTTTACTACTAATTTAAGCTTTCCTTACCCGTTTGGGTATGTTTTGAGTAGCTTTGACTTTGGGTGTGAGGTTAGTAGCGATCGGTCTGATAATCGAAAAAAATATACTCGTATGCATGTTTGAAGTATCGATAAGAACTAATATTTTATTTCATTATTATTATTTTTATTTATCATGAAATAAATAATATAATTAATAATAATTTCTGAAGATTGAAAACTTGTTTTGAGAACTTACTGCAATGACATAGTGACCGAATATAATCGATATCTTTTTTTTAATTATTTTAGTTCTATTTAAAAAAAAGAGAAAATATTTGTATAAAATCAAATTCGGGTGTATAAATATGTGTATGGGAATTATCTTTAAATAATAAAAATTATTTTACTATACTTGGGCTTCGATAAATTTTGTCTGATCGATATTTTATTCTTTCCGCTTTTATCGAGATCAAACGTTTGATTGTAGATATACTCATACATTTACATATATGGGTATATGTATATATTCGATGCGACTTTGTAGTTATCATTTATTCTTTTAATTAACCTTTTTCTTCGATAAATAATCGTTCTACTGAGATTTGTGTAGTTTTATCTAGTAAAAACAAGGAAAGGTAAAATTATATCGAACAAATATCGAAAAATTTAAATCAACATATAAAGATTTTAACGAAAAAATACCAGAGATTACTTGCCCAATGTGAAAGTGTGAATAGTATACCCGAAATCGTTTGTGACACTTCACAAGAAGGCATTTTTTTCTGTAACTTTAGGTCCTCTGCACCCAGCGGAAAATATTAAAATATTGTGATAATACATATGATCTTTTCGTAGTATCTCCGGCCAAGCATTCCAATTGTCTAGCAAGGGTAATAGATAGGACATTTAAAAACAAGAATTATCTGTAAGACCCGAAAAATTTTGAGGCGATAAAGTCAAGGCCTCACCAATTTAATTCATCATATTCAAGACTAATGCCCTTAAACTCGCTCCCTGACTAAAATCCCTGACTGGAACAACAGCAGAAGGGCTATGGGGCCTAAAGACCCATTTTACATATTGAAAATTAAGACACCATTATGAATACCTTATTCATTCATTATAAGGTATTGATAATTAAGACACCAGTATGGGTATAGTCTCAGTTGTCTAGAACTCTTTGGAAATGAGGTATTCATATTGGTATCATAATAGTCAATATGTGAAGTTCATGAAAAATATAAAAGAGCTTGACCTAACTCTACCTTGCGACCGGTAAAAGGAATGTTTGCACCAAGCACTAGCTCTAGTCTCCTTTCCGAGCAGGGAAGATTGAGCGGAAGGCAAGACTATCAGTAGTTCAAGTGAAGATATTTGTATTTACATTTACTGCTGAGTCTAAATGCGAGACAGGCACAGGAGCAGGGCTCTAATGTTACCTTCCTGATGAAGAATTTAAGAAAATAATTTCAATTTTTAATTACTCGAATTGCCTTCCAAGCGGAGATTGTCGACATTACTGTAGGTGCCAAATAAGCAACCATTTTAGTACGAAAAACTCTAAGGGCCCCTGTTGACAATCTAGTCGCAATTAGTTCGAATAAAGTCCCCTATACAAAGTCCAAATGTGGAAGAACATACAAGGAGCTAATTTACAAACTATCATGGAAGAACCCAGTGAATATCTTTTGGATGTGTACCTCAAACACGGCGATAGAAGGTAACGAAAAGAATGACGAATAAGTTCGCAGGTCGCAGTATGGCCAACTGCCTCAGATCCCCCCTACGGGTTGGGAATTCAAGAATTTACTAGTGGTAAGGCATGTCTGTCGTAAGAGGCGACTAAAATCCAATAGTTCCCGCGACAGTCGGGTCTTTATACCTGAACGGCCCGGATTTTTATCCGTCTAAAGAATGTCACTCCCGCAATATTCCCCAAAAAGTACTTTGGGAAATTCTTTTGCGGTTATAACAACAACAACAACAACCAACTGCCACAGATCAACCTGTGATTTCGATTTTTGCCTAAGGCAGTGGACTCTTGAGAAAAACTTATGGTCATGTAGTATTTCAATACGAGACGTGCCACTAAATTACAGTTTGTGTTGCGTATAGAATAAATTGTTAAAAACACTAAAAGAAGGGATTTCGTACACTTATGGTATGTATATTGACGTGGCATCCACCTCGGAAAACCAGCTACGTTTCCATCTGCCAGAACACTACCTTGGTAAGTGCTCGGACTTTAGCCGATTGCAGCGCCATATTTTCCACGACTTAAGTTTCAAATTATAAGCAATTTTGTTTAGCTTTAAATTTTGGTCCGAAGTATGTACATACATATGTATAAGCCCATCAAAATGTATGCCTATCGAGTCATGATGAAGAATAGAGTTGTTCCCAATATCCGTCTGTCTATCTTTGTATGCAAATTTAGTTTGGTTTGTTTTTCAAGATATTTCAACTTGGCACATAGAAGCCCTGGTATATTTAAATGATTGTTTGCTGGCCAGAACGGACAACTATAGCCCATATAGGACATGCATATACAAAAAAGTGTTGCCAGCGAAAATCACTGATATCGGAGGATTATATAATTTAGCTCTCATTAAGCAGATTTGTTCAGATGTGAAGTTTTGAGTCAAAAACTCGTCAATAAAGCATTTAAAAGCATGAAATTTTGTACACGCAAATATGCATACATACAAGGTGCGTTCCACAGTAAACAGGACTTTTTGAACCTAGCTCCCTCTAGTAGCGCCATCTATAGCGTTAGAATCTGCTTTCCTTTATCGACTTTGAGCAAAAATTTCATGACATTTCATCTATTGGAAGTGAAGTTATTGCGTTTCAAGTATCAGCATGTTTTTGTCATCGGTGCGAAAATGAGCTTCGAACAAAGAGCCAAGATTAAATTTTGTTTTAAAATTGGTAAAATTTTTACCGAAACGTTTCAATTGATGAAACAAGTTTATGGCAATGATTGACAACATAAATGCCGATGAGCCAACCAAAACCGTGATCACCGAAAATTCCATCGAAACTGTGCGCGAATTCATAAAAAATCAGCCGAAAAAAATTTTTGAAATTCATGGAAATAGAATTGGACATCTCCAAAACATCGATTTATTGCACTTTGACCGAACATTTGGGCTTACAAAAGGTGTTTGCACGGTTTGTTCCGCACAAATTGACTTACGACCAAAAATTACTCAGATTTCAACACTCTAATGACAACTTATATAGGCAAGATGGCCGATTATTTGACCAAAAATCACATTTTGACAATCAACTACTCCATTCGTATTCACCTGATATGGCACCGTGCAACTTCTACCTTTTCGGAAAAGTGCATTTGCCGATGAAAGCAAAACGTTATGCACACGTGGAGGCCATTCAAAAGGCTTGCGCCGGCATACTGGCGGCCATACCCCGCAATGAGCTAAAACACTCTTTGGAATGAACCTTGTATAAGCATCCCTGCAGTTCGACTACCTCGTTTCGCGATTAACGATTGAAATAGCTCTCTAGCTCGTGAATACTGATCACGATTGTCCTTTCGGTTTCATAACGGAACGTACCGAGTGGTAAGACATTATATTACGTAGACCTTGCGATTTGTCTGGTGAAAAGTGGTTGGTTATTTCGTTAGTGCCACTGAGTTAGCGATATCGTTATTTATTATTTATTACTTGTATAATTATATTTATTATTTATGCTATTAATTTATGAAACAAAAGAGAAAACAATGAGCACCCTGGGTGATTAAAAAAAAACAAAATTACAGAAACATTTGGGTTGGGTTTAAACGGGGAGCCCAGCGATTTGTCTAACAATTGGTAATGCACGCAATCGTTAGTCTGCGATAATTGCTTGACACTATCAGAACTACTGGGATTATTCCCGAAAATTATTGAAACCGGAGGATTATATCATTTAGCCTCTGTAAAACCGACTCGTTCAGATATGAGAAAAAAGGCAGCTCTATTGAGCATTAAATTATTTTATATTTGTTGCTATATTTGCTCATGCATCTGATTAAGCAGGATACAAATATTCAAATTAATTAAAAAAAAAAACTTATATCCAATTAAGAAATTCTGAACGCCCAGTTTCAACCTGTCACAGCTGCTTTCGACCACCACCGTGTGCGGCCAATAGTGTTAAAGAGATAAAGGAAAAAGAACAATTCTAATTTAATATTTTTTTTAAAGCGTTCTTCTATTGTTCTGTTAAATAACTAATCTATTTTGACCTACATACATACAAACTCTTAGAATATATATATATTATTAAGCCTAGCCTGTAGAGCGCTTGGCGCGCTAACGGTTAGTGTCGTACAGCATCAATACATAAAAAATAAAATTGCAAACGCAAAAAACATACAAATGCACTCACAAGCACTGTTATCAGTAAATAATTTTTTTAATTATCTCTTTTTTTTTTCTTTCATTTTACAAAAGCAGATTGCATTATTTTTAGTGATAAGCGAGTTTAAGTATGAAAAAAGGCTGGCAGTTGTCTTTGTTTTATTCAAATGTGCATATATATATTTTTTTAATTTTTTTTTGCACTTCTTGTGATCTGTTTTTGTTTTTTAATATTATTATTATTATTATTTTTTGTACATTTATTGTTGTTTCAATTTTTTGTCGCTTGCCTCCATGGATTCTGTGCTTTGGCTCTGTTTGGCTGTTTAACTTATCTCGGCTTGTATTTGTTGTTCAGAGTCCGAGTTTAATGAAACCAATAACTATAATCACTTAAACAGGTTTTTGTAATTTGATAAGTGTTGATTAGTATTTTTAGCGAATTTACATGAAAACTATGAAATT